GGACTAGTTGTAGAGGTCTAGGGATTAGTTGCTGAGGTCTAGGGACTGTAAAACATTGACTGTCTGGAGCAGCATACTGAAGATTTTAAATAGTTGTTGATTCAAATGCTGACTGGAGCTCTTCAGACAAACTGTGAGATGATCTCAGGTCCAACAGGACACATGTCCTGCTGTATCCATGTCAACGAGTGAAGTGCTCGCGTTCACCCGGTGGACCCAGCAGTGTGACGGTGTTATTAACAGAGAGCACTGAACACATCACAGAGTGACAGGAGGAGGGCTCAGTGTTCAGGTGCAGAGGGTGGAGCTTCATGTTTCTCCCTCAGCTGCTGAGCTCCCCCTGGTGCTCAGTGAGGTCTACACTCAGTCAGCAGACTTCATGTTCAGCTGCATTCATTCACACTCTTTACTTTGTTCACCTTGTTTTACAGATGAACACCTTCAATAATTCACTCACACTTCAGACATTGTTCAAGAAACATTCATTCATTCATCTCTTCCAATGTTCTGAGTTCATCCTTCTACAATCAGCCTCTTCTCTTCTTTCAATCACTGTAAACTGAATATGTTTGGGTTCTGAACTGTTTCAAGACGACATCTTGAGCTCTGAGGAATCATCAGGGATCATGTTTGTTCTTCTTATACTTGTACATTAAAGTGTTAATCTACGATAATACAACAGTGTGTTGTAGATGCATCTCGGTGTCTGGCATCAGCTTCTTGGTGCAGTGTGAACCTTGTTGATTAAACGTCATCAGTTCAAATCCCAGCTGTGCTAGAAGATGCTACGTATCCCATAATCACAGCTTCTTTATTCATAATCTTCACATTCACTCACTCACACACATTCTTATGAGGCAATATATTTCTAATCAGACGTTGCTGTATTCATCCTTTTCTTGGTGAGAGCTGCTAGTTCTTCCAACAGCTGCTGAGACTGAAGACTAAAAACTGAATGACCTTCTCTGCTGGTCTTCCTCTGTGTGCCAGGATCCATCAGAGACCAGAGGCCCCTGGACCTGAACCCAGCTGTGTGTCCCCTGAGACCAACCAGTCACACCAACATGGCATTGATTTTAAAGGAGGAGAAGTCTCTTCTGCAGAGTAAGTTTCATCACATGTAACATGTTCCTGACAGCTTCCCAGTAGAACTGGTCTTCTACTGCTGATATTAAAGTACTCTGTAAAGAACAGTGGACCGCTGATGATACTGCTGTTTGTCCTGCTTTCTGAAAAGTAACGAGAAGTAGTAGAACCAGAACTACATCAGTGATCAGTCACTTCCTGGATGAAACAGGAAGTGGTTTATTACCTAATATGTGTCCGGACTACAACCAGGACAGTGTGTTTGAGTTCAGACAACCAATGAGGGACAGAGTTCATTACAGTCCACAGTGATTTACAATCAGAGCAGTCAAAGTGAACCAGAACTTCAGGTACATGTCATGAGAACATGAAGGTACATCCTTCTCTAATAAACCAGTGAAAGTGTGCTAGAGAGCTACGTTTAACATGTTAAAGACATGAGATGTACGTCAGCTGTGTGAAGGTGTCGTGTGACAGATGGCTCTCAGATGGTGTGGAAGATGTTCAGTGACTCTGCTGTCCTGACTTCAGTACTTCATTCCACCACTGTGGGACCAGAACAGAACAGAGTGATGATGGAGATGAGAGACCACAGGGTCCTCTGAGGGACAGGGCGGCCAAACGTCCAGAGGTAGAGGAGGAGTAGGGTTTGACCATGGCTCCTAAGGAGGAAGGACCAGTTCCCTTCACTTCCCCGTAGACCAGCACCAGAGTCTGGAGCTGATGTGAGCTGAGGCTGGGAGCCAGTTTAAAGAAGCCGTGTAGGAGAACATGGATGTTAGTTCATCAGACAGGAGTGGACCAAACCACATACATGATGATGTGACAGGTCAACAGTCTTCAGTCTGAAGACGTCTGACTAACAACACACTGGTTCAAAGAAAGCTGCACGAAATACAACAAGTGTCCCATGTTGAATAAACATCAGCAAGACGTGTTTCAAAGACTAACTTTAATTGCAATGAAATAACTTTTAACATCCAATAAAACCAGTGAAAGCAGAGAAATGAAGGTTGTATTGTTGAGTAAATGTCAGTGTTTCTATCAGTTCACAGCAGCAGAGAGAACAGTCTCCTGAGCCCAGCTGTGTGTCCATGAAGAGTGATCGCTCTAAAGGTGCTCTGATTGACTTCAAAGATGGACGCCGTTCTTATGACCCAGAGTAAGTTCTTAAAACAGATGAAACAATGAGCTAGATGTTGCACAGATATAAATTGGTCAGCTATCATCTATAGTCTTTGATCTATCATTATGATCTAACTTCTCATTATGATTATGAAATGACGCAATATCTTCAACTACTTGTTCTAGGTTTTACATCAGACAGGAAGTAGCATTCTGGATATAATCCTAACTCTAGTTGCAGAGGTCTGGAGACTAGAAAGACTCTGAGGAGGAAGTCTCCGCAACGGTGCTGTGGACAAAACCAAACACAGACCCGTTGTTTCAGTGATGTGATAGATCAACAGTATTAAGTCTTGGTGCATCTGACTAACAACACAATGGTAGAATAGAAACTACATCAGATATGAAAAAGTATCACATCACATATGATTCTAGTGATTCTATATCTTTTACTGTCCAATGAAAGCAGAGATAAGAATTGTTGAGCATCTGGTTTTCATTGTGATCAATCATGACAGAACACAACATCTTTAACTAATTGTTGTATTTGTGTTAATGGTACAAACACAATGTGAGCTGATTCTTCATGATTCATCCACAGAGAGGACCAGGAGAGCTCAGAGGTTCCCAGAGGTCAGTCTGCTCAGCAGCATCAAACACACCTGGACTCCATATTTATGGTCTGTACATGTACAACTACTTTTACATCTATTGTGTTCACAATCATCGCCATGCTGCACTTTGTAGACCAGTGGATCGTCAGTCTGTCCAACATGGATCTGATGTTTGGTTCCATGGTTTTAGTTTGTGTCATTCATAGAATGTTCTGTTCCAGCTGCTGGAGGAGAACATCGTCACTTTTGTGAAGAACGAGCTGAAGAAGATCCAGAAGGTGGTGAGTTCAGATTACCCAGAATGCTTAGAGAGTCAGAGGGAGGATGAGGAGGTGCTGGACGGTGAGGATGAAGAGCAGAGGAGGAGCAGCAGAGAGGAATTTGTGAAGATCACACTGCACTTCCTGAGGAGAATGAAGCAGGAGGAGCTGGCTGACTGTCTGCAGAGCAGTAAGAGGATTTCTCTAAAGATTTAACATGCTGGATAAATGTGACGTTTACTGATGTCTCAAGAGATGGACCAACATATATTCATAGACTCATTCTTTGAGGAAACGACATGTTGAAATCTGTTCTTTGACTCATTGATCTTCTTTGTTGTGTGTTCATTCAGGAGTTCCTGCTGCAGTTTGTCAACGTGAACTCAAATCTAACCTGAAGAAGAAGTTCCAGTGTGTGTTTGAGGGGATCGCTAAAGCAGGAAACCCAACCCTTCTGAATCAGATGTACACAGAGCTCTACATCACAGAGGGAGGGACTGCAGAGGTCAATGATGAACATGAGGTCAGACACATTGAAACAGCATCCAGGAAACCACACAGACCAGAAACAACCATCAGACAAGAAGACCTCTTTAAAGCCTCACCTGGAAGAGAGGAACCAATCAGAACAGTGATGACAAAGGGAGTGGCTGGCATTGGGAAAACAGTCTTAGCACAGAAGTTCACTCTGGACTGGGCTGAAGACAAAGACCACCAGGACATGCAGTTCACATTTCCATTCACTTTCAGAGAGCTGAATGTGCTAAAAGAGAAACAGTTCAGCTTGGTGGAACTTGTTCATCACTTCTTCAGTGAAACCAAAGAAGCAGGAATCTGCAGGTTTGAAGAGTTTCTGGTTCTGTTCATCTTTGACGGTCTGGATGAGTGTCGACTTCCTCTGGACTTCACCAACAATGAGATCCTGACTGATGTTACAGAGTCAACCTCAGTGGATGTGCTGCTGACAAACCTCTTCAGGGGGAAACTGCTTCCCTCTGCTCGCCTCTGGATAACCACACGACCTGCAGCAGCCAATCAGATCCCTCCTGAGTGTGTTGACATGGTGACAGAGGTCAGAGGGTTCACTGACCCACAGAAGGAGGAGTACTTCAGGAAGAGATTCAGAGATGACGAGCAGGCCAGCAGGATCATCTCCCACATCAAGACCTCACGAAGCCTCCACGTCATGTGCCACATCCCAGTCTTCTGCTGGATCACTGCTACAGTTCTGGAGGATGTGTTGAAGACCAGAGAGGGAGGAGAGCTGCCCAAGACCCTGACTGAGATGTACATCCACTTCCTGGTGGTTCAGTCCAAACGGAAGAAGGTCAAGTATGATGGAGGAGCTGAGACAGATCCACACTGGAGTCCAGAGAGCAGGAAGATGACTGAGTCTCTGGGAAAACTGGCTTTTGATCAGCTGCAGAAAGGCAACCTGATCTTCTATGAATCCGACCTGACAGAGTGTGGCATCGACATCAGAGCAGCCTCGGTGTACTCAGGAGTGTTCACACAGGTCTTTAGAGAGGAGAGAGGACTGTACCAGGACAAGGTCTTCTGCTTCGTCCATCTGAGTGTTCAGGAGTTTCTGGCTGCTCTTCATGTCCATCTGACCTTCATCAACTCTGGTGTCAATCTGCTGTCAGAAGAACAAACAACCTCCCGGTTGTCTAAAGTCTTTAGAGACAAACCTGAACTAAAACGTCTCTACCAGAGTGCTGTGGACAAGGCCTTACAGAGTCCAAATGGACACCTGGACTTGTTCCTCCGCTTCCTTCTGGGTCTTTCACTGCAGACCAATCAGACTCTCCTACGAGGTCTGCTGACACAGACAGGAAGTAGCTCACAGACCAATCAGAGAACAGTCCAGTACATCAAAAAGAAGATCAGTGAGAATGTGTCTCCAGAGAAAAGCATCAATCTGTTCCACTGCCTGAATGAACTGAATGATCGTTCTCTAGTGAATGAGATCCAATGGTCCCTGAGATCAGGACGTCTCTCCACAGATGAACTGTCTCCTGCTCAGTGGTCAGCTCTGGTCTTCATCTTACTGTCATCAGAAAAAGATCTGGACGTGTTTGACCTGAAGAAATACTCTGCTTCAGAGGAGGCTCTTCTGAGGCTGCTGCCAGTGGTCAAAGCTTCCAACAAAGCTCTGTAGGTACAGAGAGAGTTAGATTCATATATCATAACTTAAATATGCTGTTGTCTTTTTTACCTATTGCTTATTATTTCTATATCATTGTCTCTTCAGACTGAGTGACTGTAACCTCTCAGTTAGAAGCTGGAAAGCTCTGACCTCAGTTCTCAGCTCCCAGTCCTCTAGTCTGAGAGAGCTGGACCTGAGTAACAACAACCTGCAGGATTCAGGAGTGAAGCTGCTGGCTCCTGGACTGGAGAGTCCACACTGTGAACTGGAAACTCTTAGGTCAGGATTCATCAATATGTTCCACTGATGACCACCTTATTAATCCTGATTAACATTAATGGATAAACTCTTAACCTGCATACGATTGTGTCTGAGCTTGCATGGTTTTTAACCAATTAAATAATATATTATTATCTATTAAATAAATATGTAATTTAAACATTTTAATATTCTTTTTTTCTTACTCTGCTGTTGTAACTTGAAATACCAAAGAGGAATCAGAGTTATCAGTAATGTTGTCAGATTGTTGATGGACGTTAGTGGGTGTTTGGTCGTGACTACAAAACAATCAGTAACAATGTTAATGTAACCCCACAGTAGCCGATAGTATCTCAGTACTGCAGCAACCTTTCAGCCCTCACAGTTCCCTCACATTATATGACATGTGTGTTGTTTTGTGTGTTTGCAGCCTGTCAGGCTGTCTGAGGAAGGCTGTGTTTCTCTGGTCTCAGCTCTGAGCTCCAACCCCTCCCATCTGAGAGAGCTGGACCTGAGCTACAATCATCCAGGAGACTCAGGAGTGAAGCTGCTGTCTGCTAGACTGAAGGATCCACACTGGAGACTGGAAACTCTCAGGTATGAAGAGGCCTGCTGCAGCCACAGACAATCAGTCTGATGGAGGAGGTAGAGCTGGAGACTTGTTCTCTGTCACAATGTCAGCCTGGTTAATATGACCCTGATACAACAAGCTGACCTCAAACTACCAGAGACTCATCAAACTGTTTGTGTCCCACATCAGACCATCAATACAGACAGAAGTAGTCAGGGAACAGTAGCCAGGATGAGCCCAAACAGGGAGGGAAGGTGATGAAACTGTTGTTTGTTTTTGATAATATGTCACATGTTGTGTTCACAGCTTGTTCTCACTGAGCCACAAGTGGACAAAGAAATGAATTGATGCAGGTTTAAACATGTGATTCACTGACTGACTGTAGAGGAAACTGAGTGTGAACTGCATGATGATGGTCAATATAATACTGATAATAATACATCATGAATAAGTGAACGTAATGAGCCGTCGTCATGGGCCAATCAGAAGAAGCTCCAGTGAAGTCAAAGAGTATGAGCTGATGAATAATAAGTGCTCTGTGTGAACATGAATAACAAAGCTCCGTGTGTGGGAGCGATGTAATGTCCATGTCTCCATGCTGCTCTGACCCCCCTCCTCCTTTCAGGGTGGAGCCTGCTGGAGTCCGATGGTCCAGACCAGGTCTGAGGAAGTGTAAGTGTGCTTTGAGTTTGATTCATGGAAACAAAGCATCTTCAAACTGTGACATCACTCATTCACATCTCTGATGTCATCATCAAACAGATGATAGATGAATAACTGCAGCTGTATTGTGTCTTGTTCTCTCCTTCAGATTCCTGTGAACTCACACTCGACACAAACACAGTGAACAGAGAACTCAAACTGTCTGACAACAACAGGAAGGTGACACGTGTGAAGGAGGTTCAGTCATATCCTGATCATCCAGACAGGTTTAACCATTGGCCTCAGCTGCTGTGTAGAACTGGTCTGACTGGTCGCTGTTACTGGGAGGTCGAGTGGAGAGGAGGAGTTCATATATCAGTGAGTTACAGAGGAATCAGAAGGAGAGGAGGCAGTCGAGACTTTGTGTTTGGAATGAATGATCAGTCCTGGTGTCTGTTGTGCTCTGATGGTGGTTACTCTGTCCGTCACAATAAGACAGTAACAAACATCACCTCCTCCCCCTCCTCCTCATCCCCCCGCCCCTCTGGTAGAGTAGCAGTGTATGTGGACTGTCCTGCTGGCTCTCTGTCCTTCTACAGAGTCTCCTCTGACACACTGATCCACCTCCACACCTTCAACACCACATTCACTGAACCTCTTTATCCTGGCTTTGGGGTCTGGTCCTGGTCTGGTTCCTCAGTGTCTCTGTGTTCTGTGTAGGAGGGAGAGTCTCCTCCTGCTAGAGGAGCCTTCTCTCTGCTGACCAGATAGTTCAGTGTGTACAGGATCACACACAGCTGAAGTGAGTTAGGAGAATGTGGGTAGCAGTTTATCCTAAGGGTGGTGTTTGTAGTGTTCTCTCTCCAGCAGGGCTAGAGTTTGATGAAACAATACTCTGAACAGAGTGATGTCACTTCAATAAGCTTCCTCTCATTCTTGAAGGTAGTACATCTTATGTGTCCAAACAGAACATCATGTATTCCTTGTCCCCGGAGAGAGCAAGTCTCACTATATCACAACCCTCTCTGATCTCTAGATGAACAGAGATGTTATTATCAATACTATATATGAAGTGAAATAAACACGTCTCCTGATTCTAACCTCAGAGTGTCCATGAGTCTTTTCTTCTTCTACTAACAATAAAAACACAAACTTCATGACACTTTTAATGTGTTGATGTTGTTTAAAGAGCTTTTTCATTATTATGAAAACATTTATTTGAGAAAACAAATTAAACTTAAACTAGCTTTAAGTGTTGAGAGTACCGTATTTTCCACACTATAAGGCGCACCTTCAATGAATGGCCTATTTTAGAACTGTTTTTATATATAGGGCGCACCGGATTATAAGGCGCATAGAATAGAAGCTACTACAGTCAAACGTTTGACAGGGGTTGCGTTATGCATCCACTAGATGGATATCTCCCAGCCTTGTTCAGTTGTAAATACGTAAAAGAAACACAATCTGATACCGCTAAATCAAAAGTTAGTGCATAACTCAACATTGTTCAGTTATGGTAGGTATATAACACGTAAAGCTCACTTTTTCAGTTCATTCCCCGTCCACGAATCCCTCGAATTTTTCTTCTTCAGTGTCCGAATTGAACAGTTGGGCGAGTTTGAACTCAGCGTCGTAAGCGTGTCTCTTGAAAGGTGCCATTTTGGGGTCTTTATACACACAAGTGGTGTTGGACTAGGAGTAAGCACAGTACCGGTGTTTACCGCTATTACTTCGGCGACGCCCCTGACTACGGTAGCCGTAATGCTGCAAGCGGTGCGGCTTTGTAGTTTACCAGTCGTACTGAAACATTTTGACAGAGCGCCGTGTACAACCAGTATAGATCAACCAATTAACCAATTGATCCATATATAAAGCGCTCCGGATTACAAGGCGCACTGTCGTTTTTTGAGAAAATTAAAGGCTTTTAAGTGCGCCTTATAGTGCGGAAAATACGGTAGATATAATGTTAAAATAGATAAATGTGATATTTGACTTCATCACATGTAAATACATCTTTAATCAAAGATGTAGAGAGCTTTCAACCGCATCTCATGAGCTTCTTCACTGGAAAGAGTTTATTTTAAAGTGGTTTGAAGTAGTTACATTTACATTATTTAAACATGTGTTTGTACATGTGTTGTCTTACAGTTCACATGTGAATATATGAGTGACTTCACATGTGACATGTTTTAAATTTGATGCTTTTAAAAGAAAATAACAAAAAGAAAAAGTAGTTCACAAGAAGATCAAAGATCAGTGTTCAGATTACAGAGAAATAGATTATAGACTTAAAACATATAAAAGTGATGTAAGTAATCAATAAGAGTTCATTCACATTTCAACTTGATCTCATGTAACTTGATTTTTAATGTTATTCTATTGATATTTCATGTAAAAACATTTTGTTTCATATTGTTTCAAACATTTTGTCACTTTAGTGTTTGATTTGTAAAGTTGTAAAGGGGATGTTTTTATTCCACAAAATAAAAACGTTAATATAAGACATTTCCTACAGCACCTGAAGGCACCACAAGAGCCCACCCCCGAGGAGCTGTGATTGGTGGAGAGCTGGTATCATCAGAGGAGTAGGAAACAAGAAGCAGAGAACCAGGAGGACAGTTTAACCCAGGTCCCAATCTCCACCCTGACGGACTCACGGACTTTGAGGCACGCTCCCGTGAAGTCTGTGAGTGTTTAGTTCTGTCTGTCACATCATTGAGTGTTTGAGTCTCTCAGACATTTTGTTTCCTTTATGAACCCTTTCTTTAAGTCATTATTAGATGCTGACTTAGCCTAAGGGAATTACCCACAATTCATTGCAATGTGACGTTAAACACGGGGTGGACGCATGGACACATAAAGAAAAGGTAAACAAAGAGGACGGATCACTGTGTTCAGCCTGGAGTATTAAATGTACTCAGAAACATTAAGGGTTAAAGATGGAACATTAAAACATGAAATCACAAGATATTTATTCATTTATTCATCAAATGTTAGATTTTGTCATTGAAGCCGTTTTGACAGAAACGAGTAAATAGATGATATGA